CGCCCCGCCCCCGGGGCCCCGCCCCCCTCGCTCGGGCCCACGAGCAGGACCTCTGCCCCCAGCATCGCCCCACGCCGGCGGCTGCCCGGCAACCAGCGCCGCTGCCCAGGGCGGAGCGTGATTGGGGCGGAGCGGGTCACGTGCTTCAGGGCTCGCCCCGCCCCTTTGTTTGCTCTCCGCCTCCCCAGCCGCGGCTCTCCCGTGTGCGCTGCTTTTGCGTGGTGTGCGGTAATTACCGTATTCGCTCGCTCAGTTCAACCCTTGTGCGAGACTTTTTGAGGCAGCTCCGTGCTGCAGCAGTCACTCCCACTTCGGGGCCTTTTTAAAAAATTATTTTTTTTTACATTTTCTGTATTTCCGGGACTTCAGATGTTTCCAAAACCTTAGGCGGGCAACCTACAGCCCAGAGGCTTGCACCTTCGTATGAGTGCCGACCTCCAAATAAAGAAATGCTTCAGCTTTGACAACTCACTTCTCATTCACTGGCAAGTTACAGTGAGCAATATAAAGTAAATAAGAAGATGACTTATTTGCATACTTACTTGCATGTTCATTTGCTTATTTTTTCAGCGCACAATAGTTTTTCAGAAAATATGACAATTTGAAGTTTCCAAGACGATAATTTCATATTTAAGACGTGGCACCGCTGCTGAGGGCGGCTGTCGCGGTCGGAGCTCAGGGCAGGTCCGTGCACAAAGGTGCTCGCAGGCGGCTGTAGCTGAGCCCTCTCCTCCGGCCTGTGCGGGCCCCTCTGTGGCCAGCGGGCATCCTGCTCCAACCTCCGGTTGTTTTCTTTATCAAGTCCAGGAGCTGATTTCTTCTCAGTTAGGCAGCGCCTTCCTCCTTCTCCCTAGTTACGGTTAAAGCATCTACGAAGATGGAAGGAGGTGCGGGAAGCAGGGCCCCCGGGGCAGGGCACTAGCCGCAGCTGCAACCAGGAAACCGGGGGGAATCTTTTCCTCTGCTATCGGCGACTGACCACACTTAGCCTCAGCTCTCCAGTCCATAAAAGCCAGGCTAAGCAAGACTTTCCAGGTGATGAACACATCCTAATACTGGGATGCGCTCAGGTGTGACACTAATGAGAGACATTTAGATACTCGGGAGAGATGGTAAGAGCAGGAGCTGCACAAGGACTTTTGCCACTGTAGGCAAAAAAATTTTGCTGCCCATCCTAACGTACCTGGGGCCTGGGCAAGGCAGGCATCAGACAGAGCCCCAGAGCAGTGGCTTGGCAGTGCTGGAGCTGCCCTGCCCACTTCTGCCCATGCCCAGACACCCATGGGGCTTCCAGTGAGCATGTGCCAGGTGTGCGTGTGCCATTTTTGCTGCTCCAGGTGGCTAGCTGTCCTACCTGGCCAGTTATGCTGTCCCTGGATGAGAGATGCATTTCTCTGGGGTAGTTGTCTAAACATCAACTCCACAACCCGCTTGAGACACCAACGTGACTGCTGAAGAGGCAAGTTCTGAAAACTTAGTAAGGCTTTCTAGAAAGATCCGGAGACTTTTTAAAATCCTAGCATATAAATATGAACATCTGGCAGACAGATGTGCTGCTTCAGAGTTGTTTAGTGCCCAGGTACAACAGCAGTTTTAGACAAGCTTTCAAATGGGGCCTTTAGGCGCTACCATAATATAAATGTTTATTACTAGTACCCCTAATGAATGTGAACCAGAATTGCTTTGCTGCCACTGAGGGGGCAGAGTCTTTCTATCAGTCTGCAGACTTTTATTTGCTGTCTCACTCACTACATAAAGGTGGTTTAGGACTGTTTAGTGTTCCAGTGGCATGGTGACATTCTATGTTTAAAGCATCAGAAACAATCCATTGTTTCTATAATGATTTATGAAATAGGTAATGCAAGAAAGCCAGCTGTCTATTCTGTTGTAGCGGATTAGGATGCATTTTACTACTTTGGGAAACCTATTTATCAACCTGCACCAATTTTACAAATAAAAAGGTCTGCTTGTAATTAATTCATTCTGTTGTAAGACCGCTTTCCACATACCAGAGCTACTTTTTTTAGAGAAAAGATGGAAGGGGTGACCCAGAGAGAAAAAATGAGAACAACCTTGGGCTTATTTAAATGGCCATGTAACTATTGCCATGCCTAGCACCGCATAAAAAGAAACATGATATAATTGGTCCTGTTGTGAATGGTAGCACAGGGAAGTAAAAAAAAAGTTAACAGCAAAATTGTTTAAATCTTGTTTCTGCATCTAAACAAATAGCAAGGGTGGATTTTGAAAATCAAATAAGTTGCCCAATATGGTTTTGTATATGTAGAAGTTAGCTATGAGAGGGTAAGGGGGTCATATATGTTTAGGGTAGAATTCTTAAAAGCATATTTGCAAGAGGCAAGGATTTCTTAGGGTGATATCTTTTATTGGACAAACTGCAGTTGGAATAGAGTTAGACAAGCTTTCAAATGCAAGACATCCTTGCCTCTTGGATAATTCCTGTACCATTACAGTTACATCAGTCAGATACTACCTAAAAGCATAAATGTGATTTAGGAGTTCATGTGCTTAAACCCAGAATTGAAAGTGGGAGTTAGGTTTCCCTGTCACCTAGGGAACATTGCAAAGGTACCTTAGTCAAGTATTTTAGATGTTAATAACATGCATCAGTCAAGTATAAATAAATCAGATGAGTTACTGATGTAGTGTTCCCTGAAACTGCATACTGGTTGCTCAATAAAACCATTGTATTCCATTATTTAAAACTCGGCTAGCATACAATGGTGTGGTAATTCTAGCAGTAAACAAGCAAGGACTGTTTCCAGACTGGGAGTGGATGGCTCAAAGGATTTACAATGGGCTATATTTCTTTCCTGTATTAAGTGATTTGTTTTGAACAAGCCTGGTTTGGTCGTGAGCAGAAGTTATAATCAGATGTTTGATAGCTTACATTTGCTTCCTGGTGGGCTACATCAAAAAGGGGAAAAATTCCAGAACCACATTTGGCAACTTCAGTTTATGAATACGGTTTCAAGGAAACTGTAGCTTCTAGCTTCTTTGTCCTACTAGAAATCACCCTAAAACAGGGGTTGGCAACCCCTGGCATGCATGCCATTAGTGGCACATGGAGACAGTTTTCCTGGCACGCTGGGAGGCATGCAAATAAATTGTTTAATTTTTTTTTAAAGTTGCTGCTCTGGGCTCTCCTGTGCAGCCACAAGTCCTAGAGCCAAGACAACACAGGCAGGGAGGCTGACTGTGTTCACTGCCCCTCACTCCCAGGCTGCACCCTCTAGCCCGGCTGGCCCCTGGAGGAAGCTGTGGGTGGACAGGGCTGGGGCCGGGGCAGGCGCTGCGCAGGGTCGGTGCCCTGGGGGTTTCCAGTGGATGGCAGAGCCCTGGGACCAGGCAGGCAGACGCCCTGCCCTATCCTACCCGGGAAGCACTGGGGTGCTGAGTGCCGGGGCCAGGCAGTCAGGACCGGGTCTGGGCGGCGTGGGGGGAGTTGCCACGGGCGAGCCAGCCTGGTCGGGCCCTTAGGAAGCTGGGGGCTGGGCGGGGAGGTGGCCCCGGGGCTCTGCAGGCTCGAGCTGTGGTGGGTGGGCAGGCGGGGGTACCCAACAGCACTCGTGGTGGGGCCTGGCCTGGTCCGTGCAGCTCTGCAGGGATGGGCTGCAGCCACCCTGCGCATGTGGGGATGGTGCCTGGCTGGGGCAGGATGCCGGGCTCAGGGGGCTTCCCTCTCTGGAATCAGCCTTTCTGCACGCTGAGCACAGTGCAAGCAGGGCAGAGCTGTCCCCGGTGCAAGGGCATGGCTGCAGGAGCCTCCTGGAGCCTGGGAATAGCTACCATGACTGCTTCAACCAGCCCGGGTCCAGGCCTTGCTCACCTGCAGCTCCCGGGCCAGGGCTGGGGCAGACATTGGACAGAGCCGCTGCACCGCAGGCTCCCGGCAGTTTTGTTTTTGTGGTGTGTCGGCACTCTGGCACCTTACAAGGTAGACATTGTGTTTTTTTCGGCACTCTGGCCAAAGAACGTTGCCTACCCCTGCCCTAAAAGGTTATGTTGAGACGACATACTGGGATCAGCATGGAGAATCTTGCACTATGGCTGCCTAAATTACAGAGAGAGGATTTTGATCCCCACGTAGGTCAAAATAGGCCACTATGTTAAAAGCAGCACTGATACATAATGCTAGTTGTCTTCTGAAGATAGATTTCTCCCTTGTGTATCATCTGTCCCTTTGGAGAGTGATACAGGTCTTGAAGGAAAAAAATAATCAAAAGTATGTAAGCAAATGGAGAATGGGTTAAAATTCAATATGGTAAATAGTGTCAGATTAATTGGATGGCTTTCTTTGCTTAGATAACTGATTTCTTAGACAGAAGGAATGTCTTGAATCTCATCTTTCTGGGCTTCAGTAAAACATTTGATATGAAGCCACCTGGGAAACCACTTGTTAAACTGAAGGAGCTGGAGGAGAGGAATAATAAGGCGGGGAAAGCACTGACTAAAGGGAGATGGCAACAAGTAGCATTAAAATGAAAAGTACAGAGCAGAGATACTAGCTTGGTTCCTCTAGAATGGGTTTTGTGACTAATCTTGTTTAATATTGTCATTGATTACATTGACGCAGATATTACGAATGTGCTGATGAACTTTGGCAATGATACAAAGTTGGAA